AGCAATCAGATCAATTAATGCCTTCAGAATGGCATTAAAGGGATGTAATTTTCAAACAGTTTCAAACAAATTAAATAGATGAAATTAATTACTTCTTACTTGTAATTTTAATTAAGAAAAAAATTTAAAGGCCGCGGCATTCGTGTTTTAGACGAGATTAACAAATTCTCGTGTGTTTAATTATAAGCAGGGGAGAGGTGAGGTAATCCAAAAAGGGCAGTTTGAGGCTGTAATTTATAAAAGCTACATAATAGCGCATTTCATAAACTCAAGCGTATATTTTTAGTTTGAAAATTGAATTATGTCTCTGCACGTTATGTTTAAGAGCTTTAAAATGTGCCGAACGCAGGCCATCCATTTTAATAATGTTTTTTTTTGTAACGATTATACAAATATTTTATATAAGCGTTTTTTTTACTGTTAATAAGCTAATGCTTGTTGCGTAGTATTTGGTCCAATTAGTTTATGCAAGTTTGTATTGTTGTCCGATATGGCTAGTTATGAAACTAAAATCCGGTGATTTCGTGATTTTTCACGTCACGGCACGCCATTTAAAACCACGCAATCTTCCGACAGGAGCAAATGATCCGCTGCAATGAGCCACGTAGGTACGAAAATTTTTCAATTTCATTTTTAATTTTTTCATGATGAACTTAAACGTACTAGACATTTTTAATTATTCAGACACTGTTTTATGAAGACTTCGAATATGGCATCCTCTTGACGATAACTTTCAAAACTAAATAGAAGTTTAAGAGGTTAACGATGTGGTAATCTTTGAAATTAAGTCAGTGTAAAGGTCAATGGTTGGTCGCCGTGTAAAGTTCAAAGTTTGCTCGCCGTTTAAAGTTCAAAGGTTGGTGGTCGTTCAAAGTCCAAAGGCTGGTCGACGTTCAAAGTCCAAAGGTTACTCGACATTCAAAGTCCAAAGTTTTCTCACCGCTCAAAGTCCAACGGTTGGTGGCCGTTCAAAGTACAAAAGTTGGGCGTTCAAGAGCCATTTCTAAAATTCCATTACATGCCGTGAAAGTTATCTCGCTCACCTACTGACTATAACTTTCAAAACTAAAGAGAAGTCTGAATGTGGTGATCTTTGAAATTAAGTCCGTGTAAAGTTCAAAGGTTGGTCGCCGTTCGAAGTCAAAGTTTTCTCGCCGTTTAAAGTCCAAAGTTATACTCTAGTCTACAATCGGTTAAGGCTGTGCGCGTCGAGATGGCGCCTACATAATAAAACTCCAACATTATGGCTGCATTGTACCGTTAGTTTCGCTGAAATCGCTTCATTAATACTTTTACACTCATGAATTCAAATCGGGTCCACCCTTTTCGATAACCCTGTATATTGACGAAATAGTTATTTGCGCTGTCATAATGGTAATTACCACAGATTAGAGCTTCTTAAAATATGGCAAATGCTTTCAACTAGTTCAATAGCATCCGATATTAGAAAACAATTGAAAGTATACCTTCTTTCAGAGATTGAGGGAGGACATTGCATGTAAGTTCAACTTTCAGTATTTGAAAACATGAAAATGTGATCGGTGTGTACTGCATATTGAACAAACTGACAAACCAATCGTTTAATTTGATATTGGACTATCACGAACTCTGATTGAATTAAGTGGTTTATATTAACCTCAGCAATGAAAGATTGGGAGGTTATTGAAATCACTCCAAATTTCGAATTTGAGATTGCATCGGATCTTTACTAACACACATCATAAAAAAGAAATCAAATACAAAGAGAAAATTTTAAGGCTAAAAGTGCATTTTGAATACAAAACACCCCGTTTGCAAAAAGATCGATCAAACACAATTTAAGAGATCTCACTAGTTAATTCAACATTGTTGTACCGTGGCGAGCTCGAAATTCCGCACCGTCGCCCGAACTGATAACCACCTGCGTTGCTTACCTCGCGCGTGACTTTGTTTATCGCAAAACCAATTAATGTTTGTTCGATAATAACTGTTTTCCAAGACTTGACTAGATAAAACTGATACGTTCACTTTGGGCAAATGTAACAAAATTACCTTAAAATGGCGGGTCCAGGTAAATTTGCGATTTCATCCACATACTGCGTAAGTAATGCGTAAGTTCCAAGTACATCAGACGTAAAAGATGGTCCCAGAGAAATAACGATAAGAACTTCAAAGAAAAATGCATGCATGCGGCGTAATAGTGTAACATACTTATGACTGTTTATATGCAAATATAGATCCGTAAAAACGCTTCAATGGAGCCACCAGAGACATCAAAGAAAGAACACTCTAAAGATAAATAATAAGTCCAAGCAATAAATCCTTTACGGTAGACACGAGATCAGAAAAGTTATGGCGTAGGTACCAAAAGAAAAATTGTAATGTAAACAGTGCGAAAGCAGAAACTTCACTGAGTGGAAAAGAAATACAAATGCATGAGCAAGATAAACTTAGAAAAGGGATAGTAAAAAATGCCACGGAAAACATCTGCACAACAAAACGGAACATCGTAAAATGAACTTATAACACTAGGATGGCCTCTAACGGCAAAATAAATACCTAGATGGCGTAAGAATATCAAGTAAAACGTCGAATTTAAATATAAACGAGAGTAAGAATGCTAAATTTGAATTACGAGCGAAAAGAACGTAACAAAACTGTTAATTCGCGTAAAAAATTACGATGAAATGGTTTCTTATTTATCCTTTTTAAATTGGAAAATTTTTCAACTAATTCATTTAATACTAAATCGTTATAACGCGATAACCACATCATTATAACTTACATATCACAGATGTAGAAGATCTATAACAATTATAGTGACATTACTTGCTTGTACTTTTACGCTTTTTATTATTGAACTATAAAAATAAGACTGGAATGTTAAAGTTATGAAACGGATTTCAGATATCTTCCTAAAGTTACAACTCCTACAAAACATCCGAATATTAGGGTTTGCTACTTACACTTATTTTTTTGTTTATGCATTTTTAATAACTGCCTATGAATGACTGGGCCAATTGCACCGTCAAAATTAAGTATCCCTTATTAAGCATAACTTAAATTAATACCATAGCAACGATTGTGTTAATAATCGTTGCCATGGATTTTACGTTCAACTTAACTTTAAGCAAGGCTTAATTTTGTTGGTGCAACTGGGGATAAATCATTTATAAAAATGTATTTCTCTTATGCGATAGAAAAATTCGATTGCACAAGTACTTCATCGTTAAACTTTTTGTTTTGCCTGAACGCTTTGCTTTTTCCACGGGTGCAATCTTCCACGACAAACAAGGTCACTCCTGAGTTACGTTACCGGGAAATCCCATTGACCAGGGCTGCGACTTTGGTCCAAAATCCAAGATGGAGGAAGGTGTCCCTTTTCTACTAATGTGAATGGAGCAGTTCCATACACTTTGGCTATGTGTAATATAGACAGAGGAATGTAAGGCACCAAGGGATATGGTATCATTTCGTTTGATGTTTACAAACAACCACCGCAACGGTGCTTATTTTCTTGAAATAGCGACTAGATCGTAGGTTAACTAAATCTTTCGAAGGTTATCTCCAAATTTTTTCTTACTTTCTTTTATACATTACATCTTATGTGTATTATTTAAACGTGTTAATTCACATAACATTTTGTGCTGTAAATATATTTCGTAAAATTCATTAACTATATACTAATAGCATGGGAAAATTATATAATTTGCAACATTGCGTTAATTTCCCTGTACAAAGAGTCCCTGGTTTTTTAGTCTTTTATTTACCAAAATTTTATATTCTGTGATAAGTTCGGTCTGTTAATTATTTATGTGGGTCAACTTTATTTAGACCATTAAGTGAAGGGGGCTACCGAATCTTTGAAGTATTATATTTATAGAATTATTTGTGCTTTCTGTCAGTTATTCTCTCTATCTATTCTATTGGTTACTTATTAACGAGGGTATGTGTTATGATTATCCAAGTAACTCATTAAATTCTCAGTGAACCAGGAGCTCGTTTGCTATATTTGTTACAAGTTTATTCTAGGTTTAGATGTTAAAACTATGTATCGCTTAATCTGAGTGTAAAAACTGCCAGTCCGAAATATTTGCAGCAATTTTAAAAAGTCGAATTTGCACCCTCCAAAACACTATTTCCAAGTTTATGGCCTTTTTGTCACCATTTGTCTATCTGCGCCTATGGTTTTATGTAATATCTGTCACGGAGAGGTGGAATCCAATAACGTGTCTTTTTAATTAATCTCATATATCTTGGCAGAGACGTGACCCTTATTACTTGCGTATTGATGTACAGAGAAGAAATCCAATCTTACGAAAAATTGAAAGGGCAAATCTTTCTGCGTGGGCGTATTCGAAGTGCCGTTAATTTAAGACTCTCGTAAGTACGACTCGTTGAATAAAACTAGAATTGAAGCCGGCCTTTTCACAGGATTTTCTTATTTAATATAATGCGCTTTGATTTTGTTGAATAACATAAATATTAATCCGGAGTTGGATTTTTCGAGATTGAGAGTTCCATTCAGAATTTGGAATCCTTTTGAGAGCGGCAGCGAGGCGGAACTTTCAATAATGCATTTCCAACGTGGCGGTTTTCTCAATAGTATTCGGATGTTTTTAATTGCGTACACGTTATTTTGGCGGCCTGCCATATTTAAGGGTTAATTTAAAATTAGACCTTTCGGTGACGTTCCTGCAGGTTGATGTCTAATTTTGTTTACGGCAAAGGTTGTTTTTAGAAAGCTGTTATGAAAGTATCAACACTATGAGACGCAAAGTGCATGATCTATTTTTAAATTCGATTGTGGGTAGCCGAAACGGCTGCAGGACTTATGAATGGAGCAAACGTTTGACGTCAAAGGTAGGGGAACCCTAGGAGGAATGTAGTTCCCTGACGATTTAATCTATTATCCAAGCCCGGAAATGTGATGTAGAATAATCCCTAGTCCCGCGCACTCGTAGTATCTGGATCAATACAGTCGAACTACAACTTCCAATGACACAAGGCGCCGAAGAACGTGTAGCCAATGATGTTGCCTGCCGCAGTTTGGGAAATTCGCCCCACTTTCCAAAAGTTCATTGATAACCGTGTGGGTGCGAGAATAGGGGAAATTTTTGTTATAAATAGGAGTTGAGAGAGAAGACGCCGCATTTTGACGCCGACGTCAGTTTGTTAACGTGATTTTAGTGAGTGAATACTTGTTACCAGTTGCGATTCATTCTAAGTCATCAAAAATGGTAAGCCTTTTCTAATGTTCATAGCACTTCCTCTTAAACCCATTCCACTAATTCAGAAGTTGTCTTTGTGTAATTAATTGTTAAACAATATGGCAATCATGAAAAGCTGTTTTGGCCTTGTAGAAAATGAAACTGTATAGGCATAATGTTGTCACTCGCCTCAATTTTTGCGCTCGAAATTAGTTATTGTTTTCGTTACAGGTGGCCTTACGATTACTACCTGCTCTGCAAATAATATTTATCTTATGCACGCCATGCCTGTCATACCCGGTGTTTGGAACAAAAAGGTACAATGGAAGATCAGCCGTTCTTCGGCGCGCCAACAATAATTACTCTTGGGGTACTTCCGTACAGCCCTACCAACAATTCTTAAGAGCGCAAAGATTTCCCGTGAATTACTACGAAATGTATCCATATGGTCGCGATTATCAAGACGACTATTACTACCCCCAAGAAACTATATCCTACCCGTTATACATTCCACCTCCCCGAACCTCCAAGTACGAAGTTTACCAAGCAGTTTTGCCTTATTACTACGGAGACCGCCCACTTGCCAGACAAGACTATGGCTATTACGGATACGAAAAAAGTGCCGAGCCTATAGAAAATTTAGAAGATGACATTATTCAAGAAGCCCAAAGGGAGGAGAGAGAAGACGCCCAACCCATCGGCCAAGAAGTGCTGTACGAGAACGAAGACGGCGAAGAGAGTTTGGACGACGTTAACGCCGCCTTTTTGCAAAATCTGATCATGTCTCAGATGTACAAAGATGCCTCCAGCAAACAAAAAAACTACTACGACCAATATCCGAGCACTGACTATTACTACGACGAGGACAATTACGAAAAGTGGGACGATACGCAGGTACTGCCTAAGCAAACTTACCAAGAGGACGAGGACGTACGCGAGCTTAAGCAGCTGGTCAAACCGCAGAGGCAGGATGTTTTCGGTTTGCAAAAGGGACCTTCGGCGGAGGAACGACTGCACTTATTCCGTAACGAGAACAAAAATAAGAATCCGAAAGGGAAATTTGCAGATAAGCATGGTTGGGATGGTAAGCGGAGCAAGAGCAACGCCGCTTCGATGGGGTCGTTACGGTACACCGTCAACGATTTTCCGCGCAACGACCTACCGTTAGTCCTGAAGGCTACTTCATCCCCTGCGGTGACCCCTACGAGTCTACCGAAGGCGACATCCACATCTCCGAAGAGAGACTCGAGGAAGGGCCAGAAAGAAGAAGTTCTGATGAGGCCGGCCACGCCTATCAAGAATCCGTTCTCGTCCAAAGTGCTGGAGATGATGAAGGAGCCGGAACGAAAGCGAGAACCGTCGGTGTACGATACAATCAAACATATGCTAGACGTCGAGAAGAGTTTAGAGAACGTAAGTACTTTTTCTCCAGTTCGTTATTAAAGGGCGACCAGTAACATATGGAAACCAAAATGAACGACTTGCGCTTAAAATAGAAATGTCGTGCTTGAACAACAATTTAACTTTCATTGTACACGAACCCTGCCTGCTATTATCGCTGTATATATTACATTTATTTGACGTCAAAGGTACTCGAACGTTATCGACGCTATCGAATATTTAGGTGAAATTTGGTTGTATGTAATTAAGGCGATTATCGTTTGGAAAGTATGACGTATGAGAGACTTTTTAGATAGGTTGCGTAGGACAGTTGTCCTATTAACTACTGTTGGCAAAATCAGTAGCACCTCTTAAGTGATTAATCTTTCGTTTGCATGCAATCACCGATTTACCACGACGGCTTAGCTATAAATAGCAAAAGGTACACAGTAAATTGGTTTTGATAAATTATAACCTTATACATAAACGGAGGTAGTGGATATTGGAAAAGAGGCTGGAGGTTTTGAAAAAGGGATGATGAATATTGACCAGCTGTTTCTAAGGTAATCCTTTATGCTAGCTAATTTCATTGAATTATACAAGCTAACTCGCAGCCGTTTCACAGGCAATCGGTTTATATCTGGGTAATCCATACGCCAGCGAGTAGCGTGGAAAGCAATCCAGCTTTCAACTTTCTTTGCAATAATACCCGCTAGTTAACTGTTAATTACATTTGTCGAGTTTACTCGTTACTGTCCAGAAAATGTCAAGTATACATGCGCTGTTCGCTGGATTATATTGAAAGGAAGCTAGTAATTTAACTGTGCACTTGCTTCGTGAAAAAAAACTGCAAATGGAACAGTTATCATGGATGTAATTTTTAGCGTGTGGCACATTGTTTTCTGATCACCCCTTTGATTCGAATGCTACTTTTCTTTCGGCTAGTAGTGTAAGTAGATTTCGCTGCTTAGTAACGGGATTTAATGGTAAGTCGGTATAATCATGAAGTTGACCATAGAAAATGGTCATTTATCGCTCTGAGTAAGTCAAATGTAGTGTACAATAAAAAGAAGTAAAAGTCAAAAACGCATCCACGCGCGCGCAGTTCTTCACATGATCATTATCATTAATTCACTATCATTAGATCATTAAGAAATAGCCAATAGAAACAAGGTTTATTGTGCGTCGCTAACCAACGAAATCATACCTTTGTTTTTATTAGCTATTTCTGAATGTTTTAATATGATAGTGAATTAATGATAATGATTGTATAAAATAATTCTTAATCAGTCGATTTGCCTTTATTAGGTGCTACCCTCAAAATTTCAGTAAGATCGTTTCATTAATAAATAAATCATTTAATATGATACAAATTATGCATGTATGTGTAATGTAACGGGGGTGCGTAAAACGGATGATTTTTGATTTTTATTAGAAACACATCCATGAATATTCATGCCGGATTGACTTCAATCTTTTAATATTCATCGTTATTTTTGTGGAAATAGTGTACTTTGAGACCCAAATGGATACTCGGGTTTTTTGGTCGGATGGATCCGTTAATCTCGTGGCTTAGAGCCAAGTTTTAAAAAAATATTGGCTAAAAGAGAAACCATACTGCGGTGTATGGGAAGACTTGGGTCGGTGCAATTGGTTGTTAGGCTCGTTGAGATGCGGGCTCATTCGCATTAAAATATTCTCATGTCTTCCAAAAAAATAAATCAATGTTTAGTCTGACATCCCCCCCCCCCACCCTAAAGTAACAAAATGTCAAAATTCGTCATTTTGATGGGTGTGCGCCATATAAAAAAGTAATTCTTAAAGATCATGTACCGTAGTGTAAGAGCATTTCAGATCGACTTGTATTCTTCAAATGACTATTGATGGTGTTTCTTCGCAAATTATGTTTCTGGGGAAGACCATCGCGCCGGGAGGTCTGGGAGTATAGAATACCCCCAAGCTAAGCCGTAGGTAAAAGGGACTCGATAATTCCTTCTCTATTTCCCTTAGCACCCCCATGATAACCAAGTTGCTGGCGGTATGCTAGGCAATTCATACTCTCCAGACATCCCGGTGCCATGTTATTCCACAAGAACGCTCAGCCTTCAAGATTCTCATACTACTTTTTGAAAACGAACAGACAAATCTGCCTTTCCTGTGGAATATTCCATACACCACCAGATCATGAGTGTGATGATGTTTTTTCCCAAATTATCGTATGACTGCTAACGCCAGTGGCGTATCTACAATGTCTCAAATGTACGCAATGAGGACGGGCCACAACTTAAACGGGGCCCCGACAAAAATTTAATTCATTTATAAAAAAATCTGAAAAAAATTGAAAATTTCCCGAACTCCTACAATGTTATGCTTTTATTACTTATGTAGGTCTTGCTCACATACCCAAGCTTACTATCGGTAAGGTAGAACGCAAATAACACACTTAAAAATTGGAAAAACAAAAGAAAGTTTATTGAATAATTGATCAAAAGTGTGAAATGAAAAAGCCGCAAAAGAGTACAAATTTAGACAAAATGAATTTTAATTCGTTTTTCCTTAGAACTCGTCGGACAAAATAACCGAGTCGAAGAAAATTCCGAATCATTGTTCACAGAGGACAAAAAATCTGGAGCAATATCCACAATATACAAAAATTAACAATCCTAGGAAGTAACTCTTGATTTTTAATAATTTAAATCTGACTTTAATTTAATACAAAATTTGATATACTCAAAAGTAGCCATTTCGAATAGATTAAAAGGCAACTCACCTCATTTCCCATTGGTGAAAAATAACATTCCGAAGTCTCTTACATATAGTGCATGGAATACATTATTAATTAGCGGTCTGCAGTCCAGAAGGTATCTGAAGGTCCTGGATACGGTAACCTTAGACTGAAGTTGTATTTCGAGATTTGACTCTGCACGAACGAAATAGTTGGCGACATTCAGATTCATATACAATGTATCTCCAGTGGCGTCTGTAGATACGCCAACGGTGTTTGTCGTTTGAAATTTTGAAATCAAACAGCTCAGAATTAACAAAAATACCATACTCAAACCTCCAAGAGAAAAGGCAAAAAAAATGCTGAACAGCGAAACAATAAATTAGCTAAAATTGCTCAATTCCTGAAGCCTTCAGAAGCAATTCCTGCAGTTAGCCTTAAACATCAAATTTAAAAAAAAAATTATATATTTTTAAGATGGTTGTCATTAGAAATCCAAGTGGTTAAATTAAGCAATTAAGCATAAGGGAAAGCCCCCCTCCCCCAAATTTTTTAAGACAGGCCCTGAAAGTGAAGATACGCCACTGGCTAACGCTATACGTTTCTGGGGAAGAATATCGCACTGGAAGTATAGAATACCCCCTCAGCTAAGCTGTAGGTGTCTTGAAAAATGGACTCGATAATGTATTCCTTCTCTATTTCCCTTAGCAACCCCATGATAACCTTTTGAAAAAGACCAGATTTTTTTAAATGATCTTATGAGTGCTAACGCTATACGTTTCTGGGGAAAAACATTCCACCGGGGAGTCTGGGGGGTATTCCAGCTAAGCAGTAAGTACCTTAAAAGATGGACTCGATAATTCCTTGTCGATTTCCTTTAGTACCGCCGTGATAACCTTTGGAAAAAGATAACCAACCAGATCCCCCGGTGCTACGTTCTTCCACAAGGACGCTCATCTTCAACACTCTCAAACTAGTTTTTGACAACGAACAGACAAACCTTTCTTTCCTGTGGTTTCTTGTGGAGTGTTCCATACACCACCAGAACATGTTGCGAAGTTTGATGATGTTTTTTTTTGCAAACTGTCGGGTGCTAACGCTATACGATTTTGGGAAAGATCATCGCACCGGGGGGTTTGGGGGCTATGGAATACCATCCAGTTCAGCAGTAGGTATCTTGAAAAGGGGATTCGATAATTAATTCTTTATTTCCCTTAGCACCCCGTGGTAATCTTTGAAAAGAGGTAATCAAGTCTATTATTTTTGATAAATGTCGTTCATCTTATAGTAAGCAGCCCCTATTTTTAAAAGGCGCCCTTTAGTTAAAACATGGCCTAAGGCGGCAGTTCGTGGGTAGGCCAAAGTGGAGCTACATCAGTTAAAATTTGGATTACTCTCGTGCAGTGGATTTTGGGACACCTACTAAGGGCTGCCAGTTTAGGCTAGACATTAAAAAAAATGATGATCAAGATAAAATAAAAATTATCCATTTTTCTATTCCGAGAGAACTTTAGGGGACATAACCTTCAAATGAAGCATTGCTACCCAATTTTCTTTTAGACATTTACATGTTGCAACTTGTATACGAGCCAGATTTTCAAGTTTGACCTCTCAACTAGAAAACCCTCCGGGTCTTATGGATCAGGTCTACTCGGCTTGAGTGGTTATTTGAACCGAGCCGAGATTAAATTCCCAACTCTCCTCTATTTTTCGCAAAAACAAGAAACATGCGCCAAAATCCTCCAGGATAAATTGCTACTGGAAGTAGATGCTAGATTCACCATTAATTCCTCCCGTCATTTCTTACATTGCAATCAATAGCTTCCCTTCCACCTACTGTCTACTTACCAATCACAGGTGACCCCATTATAGTTTTGTTCGCCGTACCCATGCATCTTCCCAGTTCCTTGGAGACTTGCTCTGAATTTGTGGGATTATCTTCCTCGCATCACTGTGTTGGAACTCCCACTTTTGTTTTAGGTAAGGTGTCAATGGTTCATTCCTTCATGTTTAAATTCCTGTTCATAGTACTGGGGTCAGGGAGCTTTTAATCTGAATCTATGTGATAGAGTGCTCAACCACTGCTCAACATTTCCTTCTTTTTGTGATCCTGTCTCATCACCAGTTCAAGGGTCATCCCTCTCGCAACATTTCCTGATTGTTGTATTTTCGAGTGATTCACAATGAACCTGTGCCAGACTTCCTCGTAGGTTGTGCATTTCACAACTTTCTCCTCCGTCTCTACGATTTTGTTCGATCTCATCTCATCGATCGATCGATAGCTGTGTGACCATACTTCACAGCTCCAGCACTGAGCATCCTTAATCCCAAATTCGGTATTCTTAACGGCCTAGGCCCTCGGTTTTCCTTTGAGTTTTTGCGGAATTTTGCATTTGCATTTTGTATTTTTAATGCCCTTTGAATGTCGGTCATTCCAGTTATCTCTCTTAGCCAGGTTCCTCTTACTCGTCCCAATGGAAGAAACCAAAATGCCCGCACACAGAAGTGTATCTCCGTAATTCCCATCGCCCTTATCTGCACTCCCACTTGCTGGTCGTTTCCCTTTACTCCATTTTCCGTCATCTTCTTCCCTTTGAATTATCTTTAGACCGACAGTGCTTTCCATGACTTCATTTGTCTTCTATCCTACCTACTACAAAACGACGCTTCACTAAAAATAAGCGAGAACAGGAGGGTAGATTTCTCACAAATTACTATTTTCGCTTTAGAACAGACGTGTGCGGCAATAACTCTGGATGTGGGTTTTTTCACATTAGTGATGATTTCTTTGCCATAAGGACTACAAGAAAAGAAAAGAATTGAAAGAAGGTGCACATTTTGAAGGAACACGATACGATGCCGATAGACCTTATCATGACACCAGAGAACTTTGCGATTTTACCGTCTCAACGAGGTGACATTGGAATCGCTATTGGAAAACCTAGTCTATCATTTCCGACAGTCTTCGCTGTTTGTCGCATTTGCTTTATATTTTAAATTATATTAAATAGGATCACTATTGAATTTTGCTCTAATCTGATTAGGTTTAGTCTATAAATTCGTAATAAGTAAATATTACTGAACAAGACCCAATGGCTAACAGAAGGGGCTTGAAAATGTGCAGTATCCACTTTTAAAACTGAGATTACACTTGGTATTCGTGACCGTGTATAGAACAAGATGTTGAATGTGGAGGACAATTTCCTTTTACAGAAAGGAATAGGTAGATAGAACGCGACTTTTATCGTCTAGACATTAAAGTGCCACCTTAACAACTGATGTTCGGCTATAAAATAGTTTTAACTACCTTCATAAAATAAATAAAATCGAACCACATTGGAATACTGATCAAATGCGTCATCACCTCCCGAAATTCGCAATTTTTTTTTCTTGGATAGGGGACATAGGCACAAATATAAGCCGTTGCTTGGTGTGAAATGAATGCCCTCAAAGGAGTGGACATTCCCCCTCTTATTATTCAGCAAAAATGAATGGAGTAAATTCCATTTAAGTGATTGCCAAAATTCCGGATTCAAATCACAGTTTTGTTAGGGAACGAACGGGCTTGCGGCGCATGTGACGTCGAGGTGACGTTCGAGTTGGCGTCATTACGTCTGCAGTACGCAAACAGCTTGATTTTGGTTTCTTTTTTTGCGATCGAGTGGAGGGTTTCGTACTATAATTAACTTTAAATCTAAACTGAGGGTTGTTCAGCAGTCGGTTGAAGGTGATGAAGCGTCGCGATGGGTTTCGATTTTCCGCGTTTGAAGTTCATTCATGAGTAGTTCAATGCTATTCATAGCCTCTCTCGCGCTGGCAGTTTGCCAATAGCATCAAATAAATCTTCACGCCGTTTTATTCATACGTCCTTTCTGTTCCAGAGCTATCGAGCGAACGAGATGAGATCTCCAATGCGAAAGCGAATAATCACGGACGAAGACAGCTTAATTCAGCAACTATCCTTGCTAAAGAAGGCGCAGTAGGGACCGCACCGAAAACAATCATTGAATTGAATATTCATCAAGGAGAGAACTGAATGCGTATATCTACCTTAAGCGGATTTAATTTTTCAAGACTGACAAGAACATTAGTATTAATTCATCCTTTTAACTGACATCATTAGTAGACTCAAATTCGGACGAACGGGGTCAATTTGCTTGAGAAAATGGGAAATACATGTTGTTCACGGTGGTATTTTACGATTAAGACTTAATCTCTGAAGGGGCTACTCGCTGCCTGCTGTACATATAACGTATTATTTACGGTTAAATCAATGTTGCTTCAATCTGTCCGCTATTTTTCACGCTGCGAGAACGTTTGTACTGCCACGGGGAGAATTTTAGCAAAATGTAGGGTCTCCGTGGTAATATTGAGGTTACTCCATCTTGAATTACAGAGATTCAATCTGTGATACAGAGAACAAGGACTGTTTCACAGTAGTCTCGTCGTTTTCGATCATGATATAGTAAATGTCGTAAATAATCCGATCTTACAATATTGTTGTACTAATTTGGCTTCGTCTGTACCATTCATTTTCAAGATCATTATCCCGAGCGATGTATAACTTCACTTTGAGTTTGTCGATATAGACATTTATGTGCGAAAATTGGATACGATAAAATGAAACAGCTCTTCCACGAAGGAATTCTAATTAAGGGTCACTTCACGTAGTTATACCACACACAAGGTACAATTATTAATGCTTTAAAATGTTCCAATTACTCAGCACTTCGTGGTTCCTCGAATACCATTAGAGATTAGATGCTTCACTATTTTTGATAGAAATAGTTGCAAAACTTATATTTTTAACCTTAGATGTATTTTGGTATGAGACAACTTTATCTTTGTTAATTACTAATACAAGATGAGAGATTTTGAGATAATAAACTTCGTGATTTTATGATAATAATTTCATATAGCTTATATGTTAATAAACGCCGCTTTTTGCTATCCGTTTTAGATGTAGTTCACCACGTCAAATACGCTCTTTTTTGTCACTAATTCAATTTCAACCTGTCTCAGTTTCGCGTGCGTGAAGTATACAATTATTTGAAGCGATACCATACCACACTATAATTTTAGAAATCGCTTTTGCTGTTGATGATTTGTAATCACAGCAAACTGCGAAAGACCCAGATCCATCTAGTTAATTATAAACTATGTACATATCCCTGCACATTTTATACCAACATTGTAAATATTATATTTTGATATCTTGTAGATACTAGCTGACGTACTATAACTAATATATGCGTGAAATTCCCTTACTCTGGTAAGGGAATAGGGAACCTATGCCAATTTATGCAGTTATTCTGTGTGTACAGTGTTAATTATCACACCGACTGATGTACAATATTATATGTCAATATTAAATATAATGCAGAACACTTCTTTGTTTTCATTCACATTTACATATAATCGTCACGTTCCATCTGAAACAAATTTAAGCTTAACACATGTCATGATACGCTGCCGTACAAAGCTGCGAAATGAAGATAAATGATGCCAGATTAAATGGCGAAACACGGCGTGAATTTTAAACTTACATATTATACGAGTATCTCTATACGTGGCGGATATTTACAGCTCTGGGGACTTCCGAATGGGATCAACAGATTACCGTATGACACGTGCGGGCCAGGTATCGTATAGGGCTGTGTTTCGTCTAAATTCAAAAGGATGAAAAGGTACAGATAAACACCACGAGAAAATTTAATGCATCTTTTTCGACATAACAATTTGTCAACCACAACAGAAATTCATATTATGTGAAAACTACTGAAAAGCTTGTTGAAGGAAATGGATGTTCGCATGAATAATTGAACAACTGCTCAAATGTGGAATGCTGAAACATGTCGTTCGTTAACATAAAAGGAGCAAATTCTTGAAGCCAGGATCAAAAATCTTACACGTGACAAAATATGAACAGGCTTACATTGATAACAATTAAGATATTTTGACTTGACACCAAACTCATTCAGTAAGATATTTGAAAGTACCTACCTATACAGGAAGGTAAAAAATTACATTAGAAATGAAATTTTCCCAAATTATAATATCAAACGGAAACCGTAATTTGCACGACGTGTTCGAGAGTTACGGCGCAAGACGATTCCTGCCGTAACCTCGTCGCCAGAGTGAAAGATAAGAAACCCACAAATCGATCCCCGACAGCAAAAATTATAAAAGTCGTATTAAAAAAAATCGTTTAGGTCTTAAGTAGTAATTAATTATCCATTTTTTTCCAACGAAATTTTGAAATTTATAAACCTTAGCCATAAACGCAACTCGAGATCGTGAAAAATGTTACATTCATCGAGTTCATCAAGTTTGTGGCTTTATATCGATCCTGAAGGAGCTCAATTTTCATCTTTTCTTATGTGGAAATACAAATACGAATTGTCCGGCATTATTCATGTATATGTAACTACGGCTTCCAGTGCTTTCTATAGCAGTTACATCTACTTTTGTTTCTTTTCAGGATGATGAATCTAGCAATCTTGGATTATACAGTGATTTCGTCACTATTATACCTATTTACCTGGATGTCTTCCAAATATCAAACATTGATTGATATTTTCCGGAGTAATTGCCTGTGCGGTTTTCTCAAAAAAATATTGCGATGATGTCTGCAAAAAGGTCGCAGCCATACCAGCATTGCCCTTTCTTTTTTAAAAGAGACGAAGAAGGTTATTGCTCGTTACAAACTGGTATACCAGTAGTAGAAGGTCTGTAAGAAAATAGCCCCCCCTCCCTTCTAAATTAAAAACAATTTGAGATATCGAGTTGAAATTGGAGATCACAAAACCTATTAGGAAACCATTTTCAGATCCTCAGCCTACTTTTCCAAAAAACTACGATTGCGCTTTGCTGTTTTTATTTATTTGAAATAACGGGTGATCAAAAATGAGTTGCTGTCGAGTCGCCTTTGGAAGTTCATGTTAAATACGAATTCCCATGTAAACAAACATTCCAAAGGTGACTCGACAGCAACTCATATTTGATCGCATTGTAGTAATGTAGTATCAGTGTGATTTAAAAAAATAGTTTATTTCGTTTTTTCAAAAAAACAAAAGAAGTAGGTAGTTGTTATTTATACTCAGTTATTTTTCTTAATTTTTTCATACAATATATGTATTTCTATTACTGTTCAATTAAAAAATTCCAAATAATGCGAAAAAATAATCTCCCCATAACTTGACGATCATCACTCGAGACAAATTAAAAAAAAATTTGAAACAACTTTCGTCTTTTGCATTTTCTCACTATGTCTAAATATTTAAATATTATAAGCGTGATACGATGCAGGAAGGTAGTAAATTAGCGGAAAATTTCTATTTTCTTATCAACTGTGGAAAAATGGAAAAACTTACACGACCAAAGCACACTAGAATACGAAAATTGAAATTTTTGACAGTTGCATTTTACAAATGTCGATAAATACCTATATACTTACTTCATCTTTTTAAAATGCATGTTATTTATTTTGAGTTAAATCTTGTATCTGAAAAAACGTTTTACAAGCCGACCGAAAAGCAATTTTCTGTGTTTTGGTTTTTTGAGAGTGACACCCATATACCGAAATCGACCATCTTGAAAAAAGTACACTTACAAAATTTAATTGAAATAAGACGTCTATCCAAATGACTTCAACGTATACATTTTTTATAGCATTTCCACAAAAATAAAAAAAAAATGCGCTATTGTGGCCACTTCGTCCGTCCGTCCGTCCGCTCGTTCTATGAGACGCTACTAGTTCTTTATCTTAAGAGCTAGTGTTCTACTTTTTTCGCTATTTGGTTCGTTATGGTGTCGAAGCTTGCACCAACGAAGGAATTTTTTCTGCGTTTATTGCTAAAAAAGTTATTGTAAAAAAACCAAAAAACCGTTTTTTACATGTTCCATAACTTTACACTTTTTCAGTTTATTAACGATCTTAGAGATCGTTTATAATTTTGTATTGCTGTCTGTCGCCTGTCTGTTGATCTGTCCGTCCGTTCCTTTGTCTGTCTCTCCCTCTATCTGTCCATGTGAACGATAACTTTGGTTAGAAATGTCCGTTCGCTTTGACATCTCCGTTAGTTATGAACTGAATTGCATGAAATTCAATATGGGCATAGCTTTAGCCATATAATACGCAATGCCAAAAGTTGAGTCGAATCGATTCAAAATTCACAGTGCCCTTTTCGCATCTCGACCATTTATAAACCGAATTGCAAACTTTTTTATTTATAAAAGTATTTGAATGAAATTTGATACAAAGGTACTTGGAATAAAGGAAAATCTAACGTTAGTTTCAAAATTTGCGCATGCGCAGTTCCAACTTTCTTATTTAGAAAAGCATTGAAATGAAATTCTTCTTATAAATTGAAATTGAAGAAGCACGTCAAAAATGGATTGCACATTTGCAACGCTATCTTTCATATTTGTGGCCGTATTTTTAAGATTTTAACAGAAGTTGCATCTTACAAATGGGAAATGAATGCAAGTGGAAATGCGCTTTTTGTAAATCGTTTACGATTACTTTTTAACTAGTTAGTATCTACGATGAGTCATTCAAAACAATTTAATCTATAACGATGATTGTTATTGCAGAAATGGTAAATGGTTCTGTTTCATGACTTGAAACGGGTGGTCTCTTTAGAATTAAAATAGTATATTGCGTGTATAACCAAATTTTTAAAGTACGCGCAACGAGTTTAATGACACGACGCGTAGCGGAGTACGTTTAAACGTTCGAAGTGCTTTAAACACGTGTTTCTTATAGTGTTTTTTTTATTATACCTGCAATATAATTTAAAAATAAGGAATATAAAATAAAATCATATTGACGTTATGCTCGAATACATATTTAATTAAGGCAAGTTACGTACTTTTCTGTAGCGCGACTTAAAAATCGTGGTCGCAAGTAGGTGCATAGAAGTTTATTAACAACAGTCGCAATATGGAATTCGAATGAATAAGTACTATAATCGCTCTTGTCTTTCGCTTATTGCGGCATTGGGTATTGCGTAATTTTGTATCTTTCTAGTCTCTGCGATTTTATAATCGCAAGTGCATTTATCTTCGTTTAAAAATGAGTGTTTTATTTTTGCGACTAAACGATCGCGCGACAGAAAATTGCTCGAAATTGCCCGCCTAGTCTAAGTTGGCTAATTATTCGTAACGTAATTCCATGATTGCTATGGAAAGGTCACTTAATGTTTGCTTATAGAAATCATCGTCTTTGTAAATTGGTTGAAAAATATAATATACCGTCCACTCAATGGCTTGTTGCAAAAGCACAAGAAAAGTTGGTAGATGCAAAATTCAAATCCAGTCAAGATTATTATAACGAATATGAATTGGGTGAATAGCATCGATAATGCTGGTATATATGCAGGAAATATCAAAGGTATTTAAATCTCCTATCCTTTGGTGCATTCAAAAATTCATTCAAACCTTCAAACAATGCTGCGATTAAGAAATGGAACAGATTAAGCACCATACCCTAAATTACGCACGTTTGTGAAAGCTCAAATCAAAGGATTAATTGTGATTCAAGTATGATAAAAAATAATCTGGTAAATATAGGGAAATTTACATGTGAACTGCTTCATAGCGAACCTGGAAGAAAATATGTCTGGCGGTAACAAGTGTACCGTACAAGGGGGTTCGATAACAAAGAATTTAATTGTAAGTGGACTGTAATTATAAATTACTTCCACGCGAACGACGAAAGCTAATCGGCCATTGATGAACGGCGAACTCTCAACGTTGTTGAATCGATGGCTTCTCGGCGAAGAATGGGACGAATTCCGCGCGCACACGTAACATGTAGGAATATATACAGGCAAGGCAAAACGGTTACGTATAGGGTATTTTCATTAAAGGAAAAACGACAGGATATTTTATTCTAGTTTGGGGACGCAACAACAAGCCATATCAGGAAACGTATTGCGGTAAGCGAACGCGTTGCCACGATCTCCTCAGACCTAAAAGTTTCGTTGTGTTGTGCGAACAGCCGAACACGAGACAAAAATGCAGGTTTCCTATTGGTTTAAAGGGACACGCAAGTCGAGTTGTTTGCGTTCAAAAAACGGGGTCCTTTTCTTTCTTGAGCTCGCGAGCGAGTGTACACATGCGTACACTGTTTGTGTGTGAGTTTTTCTACTGTTCTACGTATTTATTATAAATTGTTTTTCTCAATTTTAAGTGTGTTGAAATTGAATACTTAGCAAATTTATAAGAGCAGGTGCGTGTCATTTTGTGTACGAGAAATTTTATTCCGCGTATGTGGGAAGATTCGTGGTGCAATTTCAAGCACTGGAACGTGCATTTTATTAAATTAATTCTATCCAAATAGTAGTAAAGGATGAGTAGTTTAACTTCGCGTTAAAA